CTTCCTTCCTTCCTTCCTTCCTTCCTTCCTTCCTTCCTTCCTTCCTTGTCTGTCTCCCTTCTGCTAGAATCATTAGCTTTTCTAACAATTCACCAAGGACTAAGATGAAATCATGCCTGCCTTTCTGATGACATCTAGCACAGGGATAGGTGTGGAGCCAGGTACCAGAGCATATTTAATGGAACTTAGACTTGAATGATGTTACAGTGGGGATGTGTGCTCAGAGCTGCTGTAAGTAAGCAAACATAGAAATCCCATTTGAGTCCTTTTCTTTCTTTGAATGGTTTCTGGATAGCCTCTGTCCTTTGTTTTCCTTAGGAGTCCCAGAAGAAGACAGTCCATGCAAAATACTGCAGCAAGTTTATACACTCTTCCTGGAAGGATGGGAGTTTGGTACATGTCAACATTACCAAGGAAAAGTGCAAGTGGTACAGTGAGAGAATTCATACAGTCATGGGTGAGATCCAAAGGAGGTTGGTATATTCACAGGCAGGTACAAGTGGTCTAATCTTTCTTTAAATAGAAATCTGTGTGATTTCTTGGTAAGAGCTTAACTAAGAGAAATGATCAAAAGTAGCCTTATGTCATCCCTGTCTACCCTGTTGGGTCCTGAAAATCTAATCTGCTCAAGAGTCTGGAATACTAATGCTGGACTCTTGGTATCAGCCCCATGAAGATGATAGGCATCAACACCTTTACCTTCCATGTGCCGAGGGAACGTTTTAGGTCATAAAGAGCAAATTCATTTAGGGGTGTGGACTCTGAAGTCAATTAGAACCTCCAATCTCAGCTCTGCTACTTGCTGTAGGACCCTAGACACTTACTTCATATCTTTGTGCATCCATCCTCATTTATAATGTGGGAATAATAATGCCATTTGTAAATTTATTCTAGAGAGTAGATCAGATACTAAATATAGTGATTTATTACTAGTCTTCAATAACCATTTGAAAATTGAAGCTCCCTCCACCCTCTTGTGGTTTCTGTTATAAACCCACTGGTTGCAAACACTCATCTTGCCCAGTGTTTACTCACAGAGCCCTAGCCTTTCAAAACCCAGGCAGTGATGGATTTCTCTCTCTCTCTCTCTCTCTCTCTCTCTCTGTGTGTGTGTTGGTATTGGGTCTTGAACTTGGTGCCTGAGCACTGTTCTTTAGCTTTTTTGCTCAAGCAAGACTGGTGCTCTATCACTTGACTCATAGCTCCACTTCAGGCTTTTTGGTGGTTAATTAGAGATAAAAAGTCACAGATTTTCCTGCCTGGACTGGCTTTGAACTGTGAGTAGCTAAAATTACAGGCCTGAGCCACCTGCACCCGGTATTGATGGATTACTCTTAACACGCAATCCCTGGGTCTAGAGTTTCCTCTGCTATGGTTTTAGAGCTGACTTTCTGGAAAGAGTAGTGTGGATTTCTGATCTGGGAGGAACATAAGGCTTTGAAAGCAGAACTCCACCTGCTAGCCACTGGGTCCCTTTGTTCTTTAGTCGAGGATTATCAGAAGTATTGTTTTCTATTTTCTGGAAGACTTTGCTTATCAGCTCTCCCTCATATACTTGGTAGAATATGCTATTGGAACCATCTAAATCTGGACTTCTCTTTGTGGAAATGTTTTTAACCATGGATTCAATTTACTTTTTGTTATTGATTATTTAGCTCACCTTTAATTTTCTAATAAGACTGGCCAGAAGTTATCTTCTTTATTGGTCTTCTAAAAATATATAATATGTATATAGGTATATAGGTATACATATATATGAATGTATGCATATCTAGATATACACATGCACAGTTTCTTTGCCAATGAAGTTTACTTTTAACTTTTATTGTTTCCTTCTCCTTATTTTGTTTTAAAATTTCTTAAGGTGGATGCTTAGGTCACTTGAGATATTTTTCCCTTCATAATACAAGCTTATAATTTTATAAATTTCCTTCTGAGTATTTCTTTAACTGACTCCTATACATCTTGGTATGCTTTATTTCATTTGCAGTCATTTCAGAATATTTTCTAATGTCTTCTCTGACCAAAGGATTATGCAGAAATGCGTTGCTTACTTTCCAAATATTGGCCAATTTTCCTGTTAGCATTTTGTTATTGATTTTTATTTTAATTTCATCAAAACAGAGAAATACCATATTACTTTGATTCTTATAAATGTATTAGAACCTGCTTTGAGTCCTAGCGTATGAAAAAAACTGCTTTTGGGGGATGGGATGTACTGTACATATCGCATAGTCTGAGCTGGTTTGTAGTGTTCATCTTTTATATTGTTACTGATTTTCTCTTTAATTGTTCTATAAATTATTGCAAAACAGTATTGAAATCTTCAACTATAGCTTTGTGTCCAATTCTCCTTTCAATTCTATCCATTTTTTCTTTATCTATTAGAAGTTCTGCTAGTAGATTCATGTACATTTAGGATTGGTATGCTCTCAGCTTCTACATAATTATGAAATCTTCCTTTTACTCTCTGGTAATGTTTCTTCTTACAAAATGTGTTTTGTCTTATGTCAGCCTAGCTACTCCAGCTTCCTGCTGGTTGTTGTCTATGTGGTTTGTCTTTTTCCTCCCTTTACCTTCCCATGTCTATGTCTTGTCTTATACTTAACTAGGTTTCTTATTTTTAAATACCATCTAGTAATATTTCCTTTTTAATTGGAATATTGTAATTGTTTACATTTAATGTGATTATTGATTTGGTTGGATTTAAATAAAAAATCTTGCCATTTGTTTTTCTATTTGTCCCATGTGTTCTCTGTTCCCTTCTTACTTTTTTGGTTTCTTTGATTTTTATAATTCCATCCTATCTCTATTATTGTGTTAATCTACCTCTTTGTTATGTTTTGCTTTGATGGTTATGTCACTTCTTTAGCATGTATAATGTACAGCTTTGAATTATCCTATCAGAATTATCTTCACATACTATTGTAGCTCTTTAGGTAGAAGAATATTGCAATTTCCATTTCTCCTTTCTGCCTTTTCTACTGCTATCCTGCACTTCTACACATGCTACAGACCCCACAATATATTATAGTCTGGTCTTAGAACTTAGGTTAAAAATTAGCATAAATATATTTACTCACATACTTGGTATTTTTGTTCTCTTCATTCCTTTGTATGGATCCACATTTCCATTTGGCATTGTTTTCTTATAGTGGAAGTCTGTTTATGATTAATTGTATTAGCTATTTTAGTTTGCAGAACTCCTTAATTTATCTTTATTTTTTGAAAGATAATTTGGCTAAGGATTGAATTCTGGTTTTAAGTTTTTTATATTTTGTTTTAAAAATCTTTCTGTAATGTCTTCCTCCTGGCATGGCATACATGAATTATGAACAGAGAGCTCTTGTTATTCTTAAGTTAGTTTCTCTGCATGTGAATATATTTTTCTGTCTCTGGATATTTTTAATTTTTTTCTTTATTACTGGATTTCATCAGTTTTATTATGCTGCACCTTGGAGTGATTTCTTCATTTTTCTTCCTGTTGAGTTCTTTGACCTCTAAGATCTGTAGGTACATTGTTTTACCCATACCTTTTGCCCATACCTTTTCAAATGCTTTTTCTGTTTCCCCATTTCTTTTCCTATATAGACTCTAATTGCATCTATTTTACACTTCTTAATATAATCCCAGGGGCCAGTTATTTGCTTTTTTTTTTTTTTACTTTTTTCTGTCTTGTCTTTAATTATTTCTTACTGCTATGTCTTTTTAAAATGTTTCTGGCTGGGTGCTGGAGGCTCATGCCTGTAATCCTATCTACTCAGGAAGCTGAGATCTGAGGATCTTGGTTCAGAGCCAGCCAGGGCAGAAAAGTCTGTGAGACTCTTATCTCCAATAAACCACTCAGAAAACCAGAAGTGGTGCTGTGGCTCAAGTGGTAGAGCGCTAGCCTTGAGCTGAAGAGCACAGGACAATGCCTAGGCCCAGAGTTCAAGCCCCACGACTGACAAAAAAAAGTTCCTGATCTTTTCCTAATGTCTAATTTATTGCTAACACTGTGCAGTGCATTTCTCACCAGGTCCTATATTTGTCTAGAAATTCTATGTGGCTCTTTTCTTGTATCGTCCATTTGTCTTTTTATTCTGTTCATACTTCCCGAACAAATGGATTGCATTTGTATTAACAAACTCCCCTTTGGGAATTTTTTAAGTCACGTTATCCTAGGTCCTTTATTCCTGGGTGATATAGTTCTAGTGCAAAGGTAAATACACTTGTGAAGACTCATAATCATTATGTACCTATTAAGGATATTTCTCACTCTAACTGGTTGTAAAAATGAGTTATTCCAGCCTGTGTTACCTCTGAGAAGTTGGTCCACCTGCTTTCTTTGGGAAGTTGTTCCCTGACCTTTATAGTTTCTTCACACATGCCTTGATCATCACTTAGGCAAAATCTCAAGGGCACTTTTCTGCAGACCTCTAGAGTGTCTCTTGTATTTTTTTCTTTTTCTTCTGCCCTTCCCTTCCCTTCCTTTCCCTTTCCCTCTTTTTCTTTTCCCTTTCCTTCCCCCTCATATTCTACTTGCTCTTTTTTCCTCCCTTTGCTTTCCTTCATTTCACCTCCCCTTCCCTTCCTTTCTGTGAAGTAACCACCTCTTCAGTTGCCTGGAACTTGATGAACTCTAGCAAAATGATTTGTCTATGTTCTCCCAGACTCCACTCCCCAGACTTCATCTACAGCCTGGAACGTCATTATACCCTGTGGCAGGCATTTGAATGCAAGCCTCAGCAGCAGCTTGCTCACAAAAGCACCTGGTACTTGGTTGTTTCAGGGTCCTGTGGCTGCTCATTGTGGTCCACAATTCCACTGTAGCTTCTGGATTATGCTGGCTCCATTAATTTGACTTCACTCATCGGGTCTGAAGTCATAGCTGAGGGTTTCAACATAGCAGATGACAAGAAATAATTTATTTTAGGCTCTAGCACCCACATTGAATTTATCTTTTTACAATATTGGTTTTCTTAGTTATCTTCTTCTTGAATTAATGATGTGTTAATTAATGTGAGGCTGACAAGGGAGCCAGTCCTAATGGAGGATTTTCTATAGAAAAAACAAAGTGAATAATGCATTCACCAGTAGGTGAATATATACATAGATTATAGTTCTGATCTCTGTAGATACCACTAAGTTCTAAGGAACATGATCTTGCTACACAGACAAACTATTCATTTTGAAACTTTTCCCTGCTTAGGATTAAATGGATACAAAATAGGAGTCAAAACCTCTTTGGAAAAGTACAGAAAGATTGCATTTACGTCCTTATTGATACATCTCACTCAATGAAGAACAAACTGGGCTTGGTAAAGAAAAAGATCATTCAATTTATACAGGTGAGATGAAACTGTCCCATTCATGCTCTTGACCTTTATATCATAAGTGCATCTCCACTAGTTGTTGTGTGTAGTAGCTTTGAGCAGCATTAAAGAGCTCATAACAAAATCCAGTTAAGCCAGGCAGTGGTGGCTCACACCTGTAATCCTAGGTATTCAGGAGGCTGAGATCTGAGGATCATGGTTCAAAGCCAGCCCAGGCAGAAAAGTCCCATAGACTCTTCTCTCCAATAATCCACTCAAAAACCAGAAGGGGCTCTGTGGCTTTAAGTGGTAGAGCACTAGCCTTGAGCAGAAAGAGCTCAGGGACAGCACCCAGACCCCACTTCAAGCCCCATGACTGACAAAAAGAAAAAGAAAGAAAGAGAGAGGGGGAGGGAGAGATGGAGGGAGGGAGAGGGAAAGAAGGAAGAAGAAAGAAAGAAAAATAGTTAAGAAAACCCTCAAATGTCCCCTTTGCCTGTTAGATTATCAGTTCTATTTGTAATCAGACCTGTCCTTTCCTCTATTGAGTCGTGTCTGTAATACACATGGGTTGCTTAAGGAAGTTTCTATATTCACTGCTTTATTTTTTTTAATTTTTGTTTTACAGTTATATAAGTAATGAGTACATTTCTTGTCAAACATTGTTATCCCCTCCCTTGTTTTTTCTCCCAATTTCCCTCCCCCCACCCCCTTCCAGATTGTAGAGTTCATTTCCAACTTAGCATTTTGTGAATATCACTGTTATATTGGTTCACCCTTTGTCCTTTGTTTCATCATTTTGTTATTCTCTTACCCTTCCCCAAATCAGATAAATGTATATATAAGACCCAGGGTACCAGAATCAAACACAGTGACTACAGGGGATAAGCCAAAAGGAAAAAGAAAAAAAGAAAGAGTTTCATACAGTACATTAAAAACAATATCATCATCATCACCACCACCAACAACAACAAAAATCCCTCTTGTTTCCTTATCTTGGAGAGTTTGTTTTGATCATTTTATATGGTCATATGAACATAGCTGTTGAGCTATTGTAATCCTCTGCTAGGACTGTCCTACACGTATACTAATTGTTACAAATGAGGGAAATCATGGAGCCTATGTTTCTTTGGGTCTGGCTCACTTCACTTACTATGATTTTTCCATGTCTTCCCACTTCCTCATGAATGGGGTGATATCATTGTCTCTGATGGAAACATAGAATTCCATTGTGTATATATACCACATTTTCTTGATCCATTCATCTGCTGAAGGGTATCTGGGTTGGTTCTATATCTTAGGTAAATAATGCTGCAATGAACATAGTTGTGCTGGTACCTTTAGTATGGACTTGTTTGTGATCATTTGGGTAAATGCCCAAGAGTGGGATTGCTGGATCATAGGGTAGTTCTATGTTTAGTCTTTTGAGGAACCTCCATACTGCTTTCCAGAGTGGTTGAACCAGTTTACATTCCTGCCAGCAGTGTAGTAGTGTTCCCTTTTGCCCACATCCCTGCCAGCATCTACTATTATTTGTTTTCTTGATAATAGCCATTCTAACTGGGATGAGGTAGAATCTCAATGTGGTTTTGATTTGCATTTCTTTTATGGCCAGAGATGTTGAACATTTCTTCATGTGTCTATCAGCTATTCTTATTTCCTCTCCAGAAAAGTCTCTTTGTAATTCTTTAGCCCACTTATTAATGGGGTGATTGTTTCTTTGAGGATTTGTTTTTGGGGGGGTAATTTTTTGAGTGCTAGATATATTTTTGCTATAAGGCCCTTGTCTGATGTATAGCTAATGAAGATCTTCTCCCAATCTGTGAGTTTCTATTTATCTTGCTAGCTATGTCCTTTGAAATGAATTAGAGTGAAAACACCTATCTTTGTATGGAATCAACCCAGATGCCCCTCAGTAGATGAGTGGATCAAGAAAATATGATACATATATACAATGGAATTCTATGCTTCCATCAGAAAGAATAACACCACCACCCCCATTTGTTAGGAAATGGAAAGACTTGGAAAAAAATCATATTAAATGAAGTTACCCAGTCCCAAAGAAATTTAGGTCCCATGGGTTCCCTTACTTGTAATAATTAGTATACATATAGAATAATCTTATCAAATGAGCTGAAAAGCTCAAAAACCATGTTCAAATGATGATATAAGATGATGCTAAGTGAAAGGAAGAGGTCTGTCTTTATTGTTTGAAATGTATCATGTTATTGTTTGTTGTTGTCATATCCCCTGTTTTCACTGTACTTGATTTTGATATCCTGCATCTTGTATATACGTATGTCTAATCTGGGGAGGAGAAGGGGAATAACAAAATGCTGAAACAAGGACACAGAATGACCCATTGCAACTAAGATACCCACAGGACAGTATATTGGAAACAAACTTAAGAACATGGGGCAGTGAGGGGGGGGGAATAAGAGTGTGGGAGGTGGAGGAGGGAAGGGATAGTGGGACAAGAACAAGGAAGGGAAGGGGTAACAATGAGCAACAAGTAATGTACTCATTGCCTTCCTCATGTAACTGTAACCCCTCTGTACAACATCTTAACATTAAAAATTTTTAAATTGTAAAAGAAAAAACCCACCTATCTTTGATTGTGAACTTCCAAAGTCTTTGCAATTACAGGGCTCTGGGATTAGTGCTTATCTTAAAATCGTGTTCTGGTGTGGAATTGGATGTGCTTTCATTTCCAAAAAAGGAGAGATAGAGTGAAAATGTCTATCTTTGATTGTGAACCTCCAAAGTCTGTGCAACTACAAGGCTTTGGGTTGGTCATTGCTTTAGTTTTTTTGTATCCTGAAATCTGCGAAATACTGAAACCTCCATTGATTTACAGAAATTCATTATCTTGGCATTATTCTGGTAATTTTCAATGTATTTTGGGGAAACTGTATGAACTGGCCCTGTATTTGTTGCATAGAGAATTGTAGGCTAATGAATAGAGGCTCCTAGTTCTTATCCTCCTTGGCTGCCTCTCAGTTGTATGCTCAGCCTAGGTTGCTTTTGCTTCCTGATTCTAGTTTTCACACCTTTATGTGTGTCTCACATACTGTTGTGAGTCCTTTGTACTAATAGAAGTTTTAACCACTGGAACAATAGGGGAAAATGTTTGAAAAGTATGAAATACAGTTTTTAATTTGACCTCTATAGGAAAGAAATAGACAGAAGGCAGGTGAATAGTTCAGTAACCAAATAATAACCTTATTCTACAGATGGTTACCCAAATGATATTTTAAATTTCCTTTCTTTAAGTATATTATACCTAGTGTGCTTTACATATTTTTAATGTCAGAATTAAAATCTAATTATATATGGAGATATATACATTGATATATATTCATATACACAACTATAAAGGGCTTGACATACAAACTGTGCAATTTTTACTGAAATGTCTTTTTACTAGGATCAATTTGTTTTACTGAATGTAATTTTTAGCTTCTAAAACTAAAAATACATTACTTTAGTGATTGTATCAAACTATGAACTATGCCTAAGATTGTCTTACAATTGAGTGGTTTTATGGTTAAATAATAATTGTCTCTTACAGGAACAGCTGAAATATAAAAGTAAATTCAATTTTGTGACATTTGATGCTCAGGCAGTTGCTTGGCGGGAAAAACTTGCTGAAATCAATGAAAGTAATTTGGAAAAGGCTCAGTCGTGGATTAGAGGCATTCAGGTAAAATGGAAAATAAATCTTGGATAAGTGTGAATTTCTTACCTGTGTACAGGATAAAATTTCCTTTTTTTCCCCCAGAGCTAAGGACCAGACTCAGGGCCTTGCACTGGCAAGTGCAAGGATAAAAATTTTTAAGAACTATATTGAGCTCCAAGGAGAGCAGTAGCTTTTCACAGACATTGATTTTGTTTATACTAACATAATCTCATTAGTCAATACCTTAAAGTTTAGATAAACCTTTGTTCATAGCACACTATCCCTCATTATCCATGGGATATTAGTTCTAGGACCACCACCTCCAGATATCGAAATCTGCAGATGCTCAAGTTTCTTATGTAAAATGGTGTGGTATTAGCAAGCACCTGAACACAGACTCGGTATACTTCAGACCATCTCTAGATTACCTGTAATACTTAGTGCATATAAGGCTTACATGTTCATTCCTTATAGACACATTCCTCCTCCTCCTCCTTCCTTCTTTTTCTGTCTCTTTATCATTCTGTGTCCATCTCTCTCTGTTTCTTTGTCCACCTGTCTGTCTCTCCTCTCTCTCTCCCTCCCTCCCTCTCCCTCCCCCCATCTCCCTTTCCTCCCTCTCTCCCCCACCCTCACTCCCTCTCTACATTTGTCCTTTTGTCTTCTTTGGCAATACTGAAATCAGGGCCTTGCACTTGTTAGACAGGTTCTCTAACACTTGAGCCATGTTCCCAGCCCACTATTTTAAAAAACAACAACTGTATTTATGTTTTTTTCAGTTCCTATTTATTGTGTTTGCAGATGTAGAACCCACAGACATGGAGAGCTGACTTCATTTCCTAATTTTACCTTTGCTAAGTCTCAGACTCTTAATGAAAACAGACTTTAACATGTAATATTTTTGTACCCAGACATTCCTATTTGTCCTATCTGACATTTCCTTATTGTTTCAAAAGACTTATTCTTTATTTTCTCTTTTTTTTTCTTTGTGTGCCAGGACTGGGGCTTAAACTTAGGGCTTGGATGCTATCCTAAGCTTTTTTACCATTTGAGCCACAGCTCTATTTCCAGCTTTTTGGAGGTCAATTGGAGATAAGAATCTTAAAAACATTTCTTCCTGGGCTGACTTTGAAACCAGATCTTCAGATCTCAGCCAACTAAGTAGCTAGGATTACAGGTGTGAGCCTCTGGCACCTGGCTAAAAGATCTTTTCTTAACTATAATTTTGTTCAGAAGTACTGAGCCTATAGAGACAAACAGTACAGGCTGAAATTTAGGTCAGAAAGCAAGAAAAAAGGACAGCAGGGTATAGTGTAGGTATTGTAGGTATCGTATAGGTATAGGTATAGGTAGAATCATTTCCCAGGCTGAATTTTACTTAGAGACAATTAATGCTGTTGTTCTTTCACTCATACAGACCATTGGAAAGTATTTTCTCTTGCCTTGAACTTGTCTTAATTTTAAAACTTCTCCAGAGTCATATGGCATTCCAGATATTTGAAAGACAGTAAGATTGAAATAAAATTGGTAAAAAGCCAAATATAGATACTGAAATAGAACAGAAACATCTTTAAAATAGCTTAGTGCCCGAGTTAGAGTCCTAGATTTGACAGGAAGTCACAGATGGGCATCAGCTCATCTCCCTGAATATTCACCAATGTGGAGCCTGATTTGGGCATCCTTGGAATTTTTTTTTCTAGTACTGGGGTTTAAACCAAGGGCCTCTTTCTTGCTCAGCTGGTGCTCAATCACTTGAGGTATACTTCTAGGCTGGCTTTTTATTGATTGTTTTGGAAATGGATTCTCATGGACTTTTCTGCATTGGCTGTTTTTGAATTGTGATCCTCTAGACCTCAGCCATCTGAGCAGCTGGGAAAACATACCTCCTGGGTAGAATTTGATTTTTAAAATGAAAGGAGGAAGAATGTTTCATTTTTAAAAGTAATACCTGTAAGATTTCTTTTTTGGGGGGGGTCGGTCGTGGGGCTTGAACTCTCGACTTGGGCACTGTCCCTGCACTCTTCTGCTCAAGGCAAGCTCTCTACCACTTGAACCACAGGGCATTGTGCATGCTTTCTGAGCCTATTTATTCTGTGCTGGTATCATAAAGCAGTAGGTATAGTCATTCCTAAGCCAGGGGCAGCAGGTAGATGGAAGTAGGTGGCTGGCTAGAGGCTACTGGAAAATATATGCAAAACAGACAAGTCTTTTCCATCTTTCTCATTACCTTTTCAACATAGCCCAAGGATGGACTTCTCAACAGACTGCTGGGATTGGGCTCAGAGGGAAATGTTGTTCTGTTGACAAAGGTATTATACATATATATTCTACATTAAATCTGCCAAAATATTTTGCTAAGGATTTTTTGTGTCAGTGTTAGTGAGGAATGCTGATATGTAGATTCCTTTTCTTAGAAATTGTTGTCTAGTTTTGGTGTCCGAAAATGCTGTTCTCATCATATAGGCTAGGAAGTGTTTGCTCTTCTTTTACTCCAGAAGAGATTGTGTGAAATTGGTGGAGTTTTTTTTCCTTAACTGCTAGAGTTTACCAATGAAACCATGTGGGCCTTGATTATTGTTTGTTAGAAATTTTAAAATTATGAATTTACATTATTTAATAAATATAGGACTATTGAGGTCATCTCTTGGGGTTACTTTTGATCACTGGTGTCTTAGAAGATAGTCATCCAGTTGTTCTCAGTTGCCATATTTAAGCCCATGGAATTGTTTATTACATTCCTTCACTATTCTTTTTCACTTTTGCAATATATACAGTGATGTTCTGCTATTTATTTGTGGTCTTGGTGGGTTTTTTTCTTTTTTTCTTTTTTTGGAAGAGTTTTTGGTTTTTCTTTTTAAATTTTTGTTTTACTGATTTTTGCTAAAGAACTACTTTTGGTTTAATTGATTCTCTCTCTCTCTCTCTCTCTCTCTCCACACACACACACACACACACACACACACACACACACACACTCCCTCTCTCATCAGTCATGAGGATTGAACTCAGGATGTGTGGGCACTGTCCCTGAGGCTAGTGCTCTACCACTTTGAGCCGAAGGTCCACTTCCAGTTTTCTGGTGGTTCATTGGAGATAAGAATCTCATAGACTTTCCTGCCCAGGCTGGCTTTGAACTGTGATCCTCAGATCTCAGTCTTTTTGTTGTTGTTGTTGTTGGTCGTGGGGCTTGAACTCTGGGCCTGAACACTGTCTCTCAGCTCTTCAGTTCAAGGCTAGCACTCTACCACTTGAGCTACAGCGCCACTTCCTCTCATTCTTAGAAGTAGCTAAGGTTACAGGCATGAGGCACCAATGTCCTGCTTTTGTTTTGGTTCATTTGTGGGCCTGAACTCTGCCTGGGCGCTGTCCTTCAGCTCTCCAGCTCAAGGCTAGCACTCTACCACTTGAGCCACAGCGCCACTTCTGGTTTTCTCTTGGTTAATTGGAGATAAGAGTTTCACAGACTTTCATTTTTTTTCTTTCTTAATATATATTTTTATTGAAAAGATACTGACAGAGGGGTTACAGTTACATGAGCAAGGTAATGAGTCCATTTCCTATCGAGCATTGTTATACTCTCCTTTATTTTTCCCCTGCCATCCCTTTCCTCCCTACCTCCCTAACTCCTCTCTCCCCCCTCCCCCTCCCCCTTCAACCCCCCTTCCTCACAAAGTTGTTTGTTTTCAACATACTGTCTTGTACATCTCATTGTTACAATGGGTCATCCTGTGTCCTTATTTCAGCATTTTGCCACAGACTTTCTTGCCCAGGCTGGGTTTAAACTGCAATTCTCAGATCTCAGCCTCCTGACTAGCTAGAATTATAGGGGTGAGCCACTGGCACCTGGCTTCTTCTTCTTTTTTTAAGTCTTCCAATTCACTGATTTCTGTTTTATCTGCTCTATCTTCATTATTTCCTTCTCCTATGTATTTTGTTTAAAAAACTAGATTCTTTCCCTTTTATGACTTAAGAATTTAATGCTAGGTATAGCTCAGTGAAGAACCTACCTAATCATGCCAAAAGCTCTTTATTCAATCACAGGCTTGTGTGCATGTGCACACACACACACACACACACACACACACACACAAACAAACACACACACTCATATCCACTGTTCTAGCTTCATCCTGTAAATTTTGATCTATTTTATTATTTTAATTCAGATCAAGATGTCAAGTCTAAGCACTCTGCCTAATCCTTGATCCTAAAGAATTTTTCTCTGTGATTTTTCTTCCTAGAAATTTGTGTTTCACCTGCAAGTCTATGACCTGTTTAGAATTAACATTTGATTAAGGGATGAAATTTAGATTGTAGTTTATTATTGTGGCCCAAAGATGTTCAAATGCTCCAATATCATTCATCATAACATACTCAGAAAGTCAGATCTCTGTCTGAATTATCTATTCTGTTATGTTTTATATGTTTACATTTATATTAGAATCTTTCCCTCCCTTCCTTTCTTCCTTCCTTCCTTCTTACCTTCCTTCCCTCCTTGCTTCCTTCTTCCCTTTCTTTCCCTTCTCTTTTTCTTTCTCTTCTTTCTCTTCTTCCTTATTTCCTTCCTTCCTTCCCTCCCTCCCTCCTTCATTCCTTGCTTCCTGTCTTTCTTTCTCATTCCTTCTTTCTCTCTCTTCCCTCCCTCCCATCTTCCTTCCTTCCCTTCCTTCCTTCCTTACTTCCTTCCTTTCTTCCTTCCTTCCTTCCTTCCTACCTTCCTTCCTTCCTTCCTTCCTCCCTCCCTCTCTCCCTCCCCTCCCTCCCTCTTTCTCTCCTGGTGCTGAGATTTGAACTTAAGGCCTCAAACTTACTTGGCTTGCTTGCTTAACTGTCACTCTATTATTGAGCTATGCCTGTAGCCTAACTTTTTGTTCACACACTATTACAGGAGTAGTGATCTCATAAAAATGACTTGGGAAGTACTATCTTGTATTTTCTAGAGTAGATTGTGTTAATTGTAGTGGTTTATAACAAAAGTTTTGCTAATTTTCTTTTACTGATAAGTCTCTAGTAAAATCATGTGGGCTTGGAGATTTCTTTGGAGGGAATTCTTAAATTACAAATTCAATTTTTGGTAGTATAGAAATGTTCTAGTTATCTTTTTTGTCTCAGTATGGTTTTATTTGTAGTTTTTAGATTTTGAGAAATTCCATTTCTTCTAACATGTTGAATTTATGAGTGCTATAGTTTGGCTCTAGAGTGTTCCTCAAAGTCCCATGTGCTAAAGGATTGTTCACTTGCTTAGGGGCTATTGAGAGATGACTGGAGGGGGGGTGAATTTGATCACAGTATATTGTATATGGAAATATAGTGAAATGAATGGGATTTCTTTGTACAATTAATAGATGCTAATAAAAATCTTTAAAAGTGTACAGTATGTACTGTTGACAGTTACTCTTGCTTTCTAAAATATTCATATCATCTTTATAATAACAATAAAAATAAATGTTCATGAATTAGCTATTTTAGTACGCAGTGTTGAAGTGAGCTTCTTGTTAACATGCAGAGTTGGGCGATGTTTTTGTTTACTCTTCAACCTCTGTTGTGTAATTAGTATATTCAGAAAATTTACATGTATCTAGTGGTGTTTAAGGTTATCTCTCATTTGTTTTTTTTCTCTGTTTTTCATTTCTTTCTAATTTCTTACCTGTCTGTGGGTTATTTGAGTTTTTTTAGTGTTCCATTTAAACTTACTTATATTATTTTTTAGTGTATTGATTTGTAATGTTTTTGTAATGATTGTTTCAAAAATTTCCTTATACATAGAATTGTGTTTACTGAACTAGAGTTTTACTGCTTCAAGTATACAAATCCTCCCTCCATTTAGGTTCTTTTACAATCACTATTTTGTACTTGAAGAATATATTTCTATATACATTATATACCTGTTAGATGGTGTTAAACATGATTTTAGAAACTCACAGAGTTAAGGACTAGTTTTTATGCTTCCCTTCATGTTTGCTCATTCCATTGCTCTTTCTTTTCTGAAAGTCCAGTGTTTATCCCATTATTGTTTTCTTTTTATTTACACAATTTCGGTTAGCTGTTATTTAAGGATGTCACCCAGATATAGATTCTCTCAGTTCTTCAGCAGCCCTGGAAGATATTTTCACCAGACACATGATTCTTGGCTAACAGTTCATTTGTTTCAGCACTTGAAACATGCTGTGCCTGTTTCTTTTGATGTTTGTAGCTTAAGATGAGATTGTCTTTTGAATTACTGTTATTTTTTAGATATTATCATGTGTTTTTTCTCTTTGGCTGTTCTTAGAAATTTTGTCCTGGGGTAAGAACCTACTGCTGGTTCATCTCATGTCTATTGCTCTCAGGGTTGGTGGCTTCAGTTTTCAGAAATTTAAATACAGTGTGTTTGGCCATAAATTTCTTGAATTTTGTGTTATTTTGGATTTTTCTCAGCTTCTTAAATTGTGGTTTTTGTATCTATCACCAAATTTGGGACTTTTTAAAACATTATTTTGAATATTTTAGAAATTCTTCAATCTTTCTCCTTTCTTTTCTGAAATTCTCATGGTATTCAATTTTCTTCATTGTCCCAAATATTTATGAAGTTCTGCTGGTATTGGAATCAGTTGATTGAATTTTAGTTAAAGTGGCATTTCTAGTTTTTGTTATGATGAGTGATTTTTGTATTGCATCCTAGATAATTTGAGTATTTATTAGGAGACTCTAACTCCATTTAAATCTTCTTATTTAGCAGACAGTCTCTGTTTAGGTTTATCATGTTCATTCTGGTTTACATTTGTAGGAGTTTCTTCTGAGTGTTTAGTGTTTTGAGCCATCTCATGCTATATAGGCACACACTCAGTCCCTGCTTTGTGCTGTTTGAAAGGGTAAAGGAATATCCCTGAGCCACCTATTTTTTTCTGGGTCACCTTGGGGGACTGGGCAGAGGTTTCTGAAGTTACAAGTGTTAATACTTCACAGAGTGAAAATGCAGGAAAAGTAAATACTGAACCTAGTATATGCTCCATAGATGATGTTTTTACGATTATCATTGTCATTGATACTTTTCCAGCCTCTTATCAAATGGGCTTTCAAGTATAGACTTACTTATCCATCCTGAGAAAAATAGGAGTCAGGAGCACACATTATGTTTTCTATGTTTGCCTCCTCAATGTCCTACTTGTCCTTCAGTTGTGTTCCCTGCCATCTCTACCATGAAATGTCTTCAGTTACTCCCTTAGCAAGGTATGCTAGACATAGTCTGTGGAAGCTTTAACATGGTATTTTTAGGCCTGTGAATCCCCCTTAAGTCACAGAGTTGGGCTGGGTTTGTAAGCTGTGTTCTAGATGTTGAAAAATGTCTTGTCACATGGAATTTTTTTACTTAAGAATATCCACTGGAATGAAAAGGAGTAAACCCAAATGATGGAGGCTGAGGTAAGAGCAATTGGATTAGTTAGGGATTTCCCACTTGTAACAGAGTCTGAGAAACTCAAATGGAGAAGGCATCTCTGGCTTATGGTATGGCCTAAGAGACATCTTAGGTAGGGATTTGGATATGTGCTGGAGATTTATAATTCCTTTAGCCATAAATCTCTATTCTTATGAAGTTTGATGGTAGAGGAGACCAAGACTGTTCACCTTCAGCTTCAATAGAAAGCTGAAAGTTCTCACCTAAGGTGTGAGTAATGTGAACCAGGCACCACCCATAAGAATAACGTCCTAAGCCTTGAACTGAGAGATGAGAATTCCAGATGGTTTGCCTAGCAGGGAGAGGAGGGTAGTAATGACTGATGGAGCTCTAGGGGTGGCAGAGGGATGGGCTGCTGGTCCATCTCATGTCTGACACTTCCAGGACCAGTGAAGCAAGACATAGCATCTGGTGTTTAATTGTAGTGGGGATCCCACCAGGCAAAACTACAGCAGGATTGGATCCTTGTTCTTGGTGTGAGGTCCCAGGCTTAGTTCTCCTGCCAGCTTGTTAATACTGTCAGCCATCCCAAAGTCTTTTTCATAAATTCCTTTTAGCTTAAATCAGCCATGGTTGGTTTTCTTGCTTACAACTGAAGTAGAACTAATAGAGTCTAAGATGAGGGGGAAGACTGCAATAAATTTTTATAAATTTCAAAGTCCAGACAGAGGTAATTGGAGATGTCAAATGATATTAACAATAGCTGTCTAATGATATTTAATGGAAAGAATTGTTTTTTTCATATTAAGGAAAGCACATTCCAGTGAATTTGCATTTCTCTGAAAATTCATTCCTTTTTATAATGATGAAGCATTCAAGAACTTTTCTCATTTATAATTGTTTAACATGATGGGAGAAGTTTCTAGAAACATGCCATTAATTTCTTTTGACAAATTATATATGTATAAATATATACACATATAATGTTTCTTCTTTTTTCTATGAAAAACTATAGGTAGTATTGTGATAGATATAAGAGAGAGAATGAGCTCTAACTTGACTCCTGCGATCAGTTTTGATTTTGATGAGTATAGTTTTCCCTCAGGAATGAGTATAGTTTTCCCTGAGGAATTGGTTCCAGGACCTCACACACACACCCCATGGATCCCAGAATCTGCAGATGTTCAAGTCTCTTCTGTGTAAAATGGGTCAGTGTTTGCATAGAGCCCATGTGTATCCTTTTGTAAGCTGTATATCATCCTTAGATGACATCCCACTAAATATAATGTAAATGCTATGTGAAGAATTACTGTATTGTATTGATTGGGAAATAATGGTACGAAAAAGTTCTGTATATATTCAGTATAGTTTGATTTTTTTCCAAAATTTTTTATCCTGTTTAGTTCAATTGTGTATATAGAAACCTTGGATACAGAGTGGCTGTTGTATTTGTTTATTTATTCACATACATAAAGGAGAACACTTATAGTTCCTCACTTAAGACCATGCGTTCACATAAGACCTTGCAGTGTGTCCAGATACTTGAAGGTACATGTTTCACCACAACCAGGAAAGATTCATGTTTTGTTAGATATATTCATGTGTGCATTATTAGGTTGTTAATGATGCCACACACTCAAATATTGGGTGTCATGAATAAATCAGGTTTGAAAGAAATATGATCCCACCAGGGTATATTCAAGCTGCATGTTTAAGCTGTGTTGATAGCTGGTGAGCTGTAACTGAGTTAACAACTCACATAGAAACATATAAATATAAAATTGCATTCAGATCTCTGTCAAGACAGGAAATCTATAGTCTCTTGTGGTCCTTGGACTGCCTGGGTAGAGACTTTAGTACACCAAGTCTAGTTTCTTAGAATCTCTGAATTTAAATTATTTTCTCATTATAATTTTAATTTACTCTTTATTTCATAAGCCCCTTTCCGAAGCACAAACTAAATTTTACTTGTTTGTGGATCTTTTTTGAGTATTTCTCTATTTTTTTTCCTCTTATAAGGTTGGAAGCTCCACAAATACTCTTAATGCCTTGAAAATTGCTTTTGCTGACAAAGAAACACAAGTAATTTACCTTTTGACAGACGGGAGACCTGATCAGGTACTTATCAAAGCTGGGAACAAAGAGAGTCTCTTCAATACTCTGAAAATGACTGCTGAGAATGGGTTTGGGGACCTTTACAATTATCCTCAAAAAGCTGCTGAGATACTTTGGCTTAGGGACCCAGATCTAAGGTGAGAAAATACACTGAGGAATTCCTTTGTCTTCCATAACAAAGATGAATGGATGTTTATGTGATGGTGAAAGTTTTCTGCTTAATGTGGTACACACCCATGGGCCTAGAGACCAATCCCAGAAAAGATGTTTGCCTTCCAATGAGCATTGGTTTATATTACTACAAACCTAAAAGCAAGGAGATTGTCTTTCCTTTGAGGATTCAATCTAAACATGTCACTGTGCAATGTCCTTGCTTCTACCTCTGATTTTAGCTTAGTCCTCATTTAAACAAAAACATGCCTTTCTGGTGAAATGTTCTTTGTTCACTTAGCCTGACTGAAAGTATTTGAAAAGTTTTAGAGGAGTCTGTTCAGCTTCTCTTTTGATTTCTGAATGAAAGACTAGTGCTCTAGGCATTATATAAATACAAGGATTTTCCAGGCCAACACAATGTAAATCAACTGCTAAAGTGAATTAGTATCAATTTGTATCCTCCCTTGTAAGATGTTTATATATGCAGACTGCCAGGTAAATATTCTAAAATATCTTGTGTCAATTCAGGGATTATATAGTGGAGCAACTAGATTTTACCACAGGCTTAGATTTATAGCTGAGAGGTAGTGTATAAAGTGAAATTTTATGTTGAACGATATCCTATCAACTTCACTATATTTTCTCTTTGAAAGGAGTTTATTGTATCTTTCTTACATTTCTTGTGTGATGCCATGATTTAAGATTACAAAGATGAGTCATATCTCACCCTGCTTCAGGGAAGTTTATGTATTAGGGGGGAATGTGCTAGATATTTGCTGTTAGAGGATGCAATGCAAGGATCAGAGTTGCCTGTGCTATGACTGGAAGTAGAGAGATGAATTGTGATAAAAGGAGATGGAGAGGGAAGGTTTTACCTAAGAAGGGAAATTTGAGCTGTATCTAGAAAGGGGAGAAGCAGTTTTGTGAGGAGAGGAGAGGAGATGAATGATACCTTGGGTACACAGGAGTAGAAACAGAGGAGTATCCATGCTGAGGTGAGAAAGGTAGATTGGAGGAGGTTGTGAAAGTCCTTGAATGTAGATGTCCCTACCATGAGAACTCTCAGAAGTGTGGCATGTCCTACTTATCATATTTTGGAAACATGTCTCAGCAGTGGCTGGTACAGGCTAACTGCCAGCGCTGCTTGCTGCTGAATTTGACAAGGGCTAATAAGGCCTCCCCCACAGCCTTTGGCAGGAGGAGCAGGAATGGGGAGGAGAGGACTGTCTCTAGAGATGAGATTACAACAGCACTTGGTGACCAGTTTGGAAGCAGAGGATGGGAGAAGGGAAGGTGGAAACAAGGCAGAAAAGAATCTGATCACTCCTTTCTGGTTTATAATAATTATGTATATATCAAAATTTAAATCTCAAGGAACAAGCAGGCTTTGGAGGGCTGCTGTTTGTACACCTGTGGGTGCTGAGATGTCATGGAGTTCTAAGAAACACGAGGGCAGATCCAAGTTGGGAAAGATAAGCGTTACAATTTCAGAGTGGTCTGAGCCAGGTCTTTTCTTTCTTAGAAATCTGTGTATGTCTGTGTGTTTAATTTTTAAGGAGTTGTACAAAGGAGTTGCCATTCAACAATGCAAACAAAGCAATTTATGAATATTATGAGCCTTAGTCAATGTCACCCCTTTGAACATTCTCACCCCTCCTTCTCAACCTTTCCCCCACTTTTCTTAATTTTTTTAGGATATTCATTTAACTTTTTACTCTTTTTACCCTTTCTTCTCTTCTTTGTCTACCCCTTCCCCTTGACTCTGTCCTACCCTTTTTAAGTACCCATTTCCTTATGTTTATTTTGTTGACCTCTGATTTAGCCTTTTAAAGGAATTATGCTGTTTGGCTTCTCCCCCTTAATCTACTGCATTTCAGTTAATACATTTGTATATTCTTGCATACCTCCCAAAGTACTTACTACATATTTATGAACTAATTCTAGCTTCCATGTATAAGAGAGAGTGTGTAACCTTTGTCTCTTTAGGTCTGATTCACATATTAAAAAATGTTGTTTAGACTATGGGCAATGCTTTAAAAAGCACTAAAAAAGAAAAAAATGTAAACCACTCATAATTCAACTTGGTAGTCTGCTTTTTTTAAAATCTAATATGCAACATACATTTTTTCCCCAATAATGATGAATTCATCAGAGGTGTTGGTTAGGAAAAATGGAGAAAGAAAAAGGCCAGATTCAATCTCTACAGGCTAGGACTATGCTTATTGAGGTATAGTAGCAAGGCAAAGTAACTTTCCTGTGGGAATGGAGATTGTCCAAAGGGGGTGGATTTGGGGTTGGGCTTATATGTGTCTTAACAAGGAAGTAAAAAAAAATAGGCTATGATCTCTTGGGGGCCATGGTTGGGTGCTAGGGTATGATCTCTTGGGGGCCAAGGGCACCTCAGGCCCAGAATGGATGCTCTGCCTGGGATGAGGGAACTTTCAGCTAAACCAAGATCAGAATGACCTGCTTTTGGTTGAGTACTTGAGCACTTGGTATTTTGCTTGACCTGGGGGAATAAGACAAGAGTCAACCCTTCATATTCCATCTTTAGATACACAGAAAGATTAGGCCCAAAGGGGAGAGGTAAGTCCTTCATTGTTCTTCATTTCATGGATTTAGTAAAGCTTTACTTTCAAATTATTTTTTGCTAAATTATTGATTGATTGATTGATTGTTGGTCGGTTGTGGGGCCTGAACTCTGGTCTGGGTGCTGTCCATCAGCTCTTCAGCTCAAGGCTAGCGTTCTACCACTTGAGCCACAGTGCCACTTCCAGCTTTTTCTGCTTGTGTGGTACTGAGGAATTGAACCCAGGACCTCATTCATGCAAGGCAAGCACTCTACCACTGAGCTACCTTCCCAGCCCCTTGCTAAATTTTTAAATGATAATCCATTCACAGAATTATTTATTACAAGATTAAGAAAAATTCTTCCTCTCATTCCAGTTCACCAAGTAGAAGTTCACCAACTAACATTACCAGTATCTTTTTCTTTCTTCCTTTTAGTGAGGTATGAACTTAATAGGCATTTTAACACTTGAGCTGCCCTGATTGGTGGGTGAGATGTGGTCTCATAACTACCCAGGGCTGGCCTTGAACTATAATCCTCCCAAAGAAATCAAATTCACATTAGACAGATAGCCTTTGGTGAGCATGGACATAGGACAGAATCTGCTTGGAGAAGCCCAGGCCAGTTTTGGCTGTGATTATTTCGGAACTACTTTGATACCATGGACTTGCCCTAGTAGGAGTCAAGAAAATGGGTGTGATAATGACATCTCACACTTCCAACATGGGAGAATGCCCAGGACCATCAACCTGCATAGAACTTCTTCAGTGAAGATAAGCTGTTTTCTGCCATTCCAGGTTGATGCCTTTGGAAGGGATTCTGGCTGTATATCTGTCTCATCTGAGGATTGAAGAGAACTGGCAGCCTCTGTGAAAAGTGTCTGAGGAAGTTCAGGGCTGAGGAAGGTTTCTTGACAGCTTCATAAGGGCTAGACCCAGAGACCTGGGGAGCTTCTAGCTGGAAAGAGTCAGAGTGAACCAAACTGTAGTTGTGAAAAGTTTCTGACAACCTGCTGAGTCTATTTAGTACTCTGGGGTTGTAAATCAGCTATAGGAATTCTCAGGGGCAGAAGGATTGTGGCTCCTTCCACTGCAGGGATGGAGCTTGCTCCATCCTAATAGACACCCCTGCTCTCCTTCCCTGCTTTCTAACACTGTCAGAGGCACTGGAGTATCATAGCAGCTTAGCACAATGATGCTACCTGGGGCTAAGTGTTGGGAAGCATACTGTGATGCACTTAATGGTTTCTCATGTGCTCTTTAACTGTATGGAGTGATGGAAATTACTTAATAGACACCTGGATCAGAAGTTTATCCTTAGCACCATCCCTTTAAATGGCTTTGGGCAAGTGCCCTCTAGTAAATTCTCATCTATTCTCATCTTAGAGCTAAGCCTCTCTTCTCGCACACAGATGATATTCCTGTGAAGGCATTTCAAAAACTTTTTAATGTATTTATTATCTTTAAATAGTTGTACAAAAGAATTGCCATTCAACAAACAGTTTATAAATACATCTTGATCAATGTAACCCCTTTCAACATTCTTACCCACCCCTCCCCACCCACTCCTTCCCTCACTTTCCTTAATTTCTAGGATATGTATTGAATATTTTTTTGCCATTTAACAAAGCAGTTTTTGTATATAATGAATCTTTATCTGGGCATTTTACAAGTATTTATTTAATAATGTGTTTAGGCTAGATACTGCTATCAGCCTGGGAATTCAGAAATGGATAAGATAGACAAGGTGCTTGTCCTCTGTGAAGCGTATATTTTAGTGGAGATGAGACAATGAGCACATACATATATGGTACCAGGTAGCATATGAATAGGTGGAAATGCTGCCTACAGTATCTGACATCTACATGCTAGGTACTGATATCTCAGTTGTGAGCCAATATAGGAATAAGTTCATGGCAACTCTGTGTCCATCCAGTTAGTAGAATTTAGCTCTCACTCTTGTCTGGCATGTCAGTCAGAGGAGCAGAAGTTGGAAGTCCCAGGTAAGAAATGAGCCTAATAATAGTACTTATCTCCAAGGATTGTAAGAGAAGCGTCATGGAGAGAGTATAAGCATAGCTCCTAGAAAGTGCTCAGAAAGGGAAACTGAGTTGAAGGAAAACAAGTCAGCTCCATACTTTCAGTAGACAAGAAGAATTGGACTAGCTTTCAGCTAGATTAAGGTTGGTGTTTCGTTAGGAAACCAGTGATGACCCTGTTCAAAAAGAAATATACTCATTACCTGGCCTGTAACCCCTCTGTACTTCACCTTTACAATAAAAATTTAAAAAAAAGAAACCAGCTAATGGTCACAAGAGAGGAACTTATGTTTAAGCATAGGCTTGAGGCTGGAAAGATTGGATTCAGAGACTGAAGCTGTGTGTAAGTGATGGCTTGTACAAAACTAGGACTTGTGTAATCCGGCTTCTTCCCTGGGTACAGTGTGAGATGCTCAAGGCTAGCAGTGGAGAGTCCAGAGTCCCCTCTCATCCATCACTCTGTCTTCCCAGGGCTCAATCTAAAACTATTTGAGGAAAAGTTAAAGATCAAAAGGTAGCAACTACAGGTAGAGGATAGGAACTGGTTGAAAGAGCCAACAAGTTAGGTCATCAAAGAGGGACTGCTGGCACTCTGACACCCAGAGGAAGGAAGCCAGAACAATTGGAGGTCATTTCTAAAGCTTCTCAGCTGGTCTGTAGTGATAAAGAGGAAGTTGTTAGGGGAAATCTCCTTTTCTGGGTGTTGAGTTTTGTTTACTGAGAGTTGATCCTCCTGGAGAGACTATCTTTATTGCACACCAGAATAACAAATTGTGGATATAATCTAGTTCCAAAATTTGGTAGTCTAAACAAATTGTGGATATAATCTAGTTCCAAAATTTGGTAGTCTAAACAAATTGTGGATATAATCTAGTTCCAAAATTTGGTAGTCTAGTCTTGTCACTTAAGAGCTTAGTAACAGTAGAAAAGTTAATCTTGCTGAGTCTCAGTTTCTCTATTTTTATATGGAGCCTATACATTTAGTTGTCCATTATTGGTGCACATTAATGGAGTAAAGACAAAGTATCAGACAAATGATGAATGAGACAACTGAGAAGGTCAATGTGTCCATGGGTAAGAAGTAGTGGCAGGTAGTCCAGGTAGTATAGCTATCAAAGATGTCTCCTAGAAAGGAGGCTTCCTTTTATCTCTGTGTTCTACCATCTTTGTTTATGATTTCCATCCCCATGGTCACAACCTAACTATTTCTCATCCAGAAGAGAGACCATTTACCAAGCAGGAAGAAGGGGAAGGACATTAGTCTCTTTTCTTATTTATTTATTTATCTATTATTTCTTAAATCTTTTCTTGTCTTTTGATTGGACAAAGGGAATTACATGGGGACTTCTGCCTATATATCATTGGCCTGAAGTAGGTAGCATGACATACTGCTGCATAATTATCTAGAAAAGTGAAGTGTGTGTGTGTGTTATTGTTGTCTGTTTGTATTTTCATTTTTAAATGGCATATTATTGCTATGAAAAGAAAAACAAGGCTGTAATAGTTTAAAAGAGAAAGAGAGTGAGCAACCAAGTGAGGAGCCATCAAAAGAGACAGAGGGAGAAGAAGATGGAGAGGAGGGAAAAAGAACAAATACAAATGGATATAGTAGTTGGGCAACTAATCATTATCTTAATAACCACCTCATAAGATAACAGCGATTAATTATGAATTCCTAGCACATGGAGGAACCTTTTAATACATGTCTCATCTCTCATCGTCTGTGAGAGGCAAAAATGACATGGCATATCAGAAGCAAAAAGTTCCTTTTTTGGTGGAGATGTTTTGGAAGCCATGATGAGAATTCAGGAGTCCCATTCTGTGTACTACCAATGGACCGGGATGCTCTACCCATGGGCTTTGACCCCAGTACTTTAAGTGGTCTAAAGCATAGCCCAACACCTTAACAGCAGGCATCAGGTTTACATGTACCTAAAGTTGGTGAATTCCTTTGACAACTCTCCTAGCTACTTTTTACTGTAGGAGTGTGACATCTCAGAGGTCAAGGGCCAGGGCCTGTTGATCTTCATATACTTGTGCTGTCTGGCAATATTTGTTTACCGAATTGAATTGACATGTTGACAAAAGGCCACCACAATTGTACAAGGATTTACCCATTCTAAATTTCATCACATGGCAAATACTAAGGATTTTCCCATCATACTTTTTTCTTTCTTATTCTTTTAGCCATCAAAAATGGTGATAGATGAAGTTAAAGTTTATCAGAAAATCCCTATTCATACCATCTCCTTCAGTTACAATGATGAGATTGCAAATGTGTTTTTGAAAGAGCTTGCTTCTTTGACTGGAGGAGAATTCCATTCTTACAATTTTGGCTGCAAGGATCCCACACCACAGGAGGTGGTTCAGGTAAGGTTTTGCTGATCAGAGCAAGCAATGTTTATTATCTTAGCTGAGAAAACCTCAACCACAAAGGAAACTAAGTCAAGCAAATGAATTGGTTGACAATGAATATACTAGTGTTTCTCAAAATGTAGTCCAAGGATTGCCTGAGCTAGGGAACTTGTGAAAATGTGAGATTCAAGCTCCTTATTTGTAGCAATAAGTCAGAGTATAAATATAGAGAGGCCTAGACATCTTTTGTTTGTTTTTTTGTTATTATGGAAACTTTCAAACATATACAGAAGTATATGGACCCCAATGTAAACATCACTGATATTCAACAATTACCAATATTTTCTCAAATGTTAGCTCCTGGAGAGGCTGGGAATGTGGCTTAGTGGTAGAGTACTTACCTAGCATGAATGAAGCCCTGGGTTCAATTCCTCAGTACCACATACACAGAAAAAGCCGGAAGTGATGCTATGGCTCAAGTGGCAGAGTGTTAGCCTTGAGCAAAAGTGTCCAAGCAAAAAAGGAGGGTTTTTTTTGTTTTATTTCCTCAAATTTTAATTCTTTTTTTTCAAAGTGGTGTACAGAGGGGTTACAGTTACAAAAGTAAGGTAATAAGTACATTTCTTGTCAAACTTGTTACCCCTTCCCTCATTTTTCTCCTACTTTCCCTCCCCCACACCCTTCCTAGCCCCAAGTTGTATATATCATTTCCAACATTGTCTTGTTGCATTGGTTCTTTGTCTTACCATTCTGTTGTTCCCCTTCCCTTCCCTAATTCAAATAAACATATATTCAATACCAGGGTACCAAAATCAAATACAGTGACAAGAGGGGATATACCATAGAGGGAAAAACATACAAAAGAAACAAAAATCACATTAAAAACATTAAACAACAACAACCAAGAAAAAGCTCTTGTGTCCATGTCTTAGAGTTAATTTTACTTAGCATAATCTTATATGGTCATATGTACATAGCTATTGAGCTATTCTGCTCATCTGCTAAGATTATCCTAGATGTATACTAATTATTGCAAATAAGGGAAACCATGGGGCCTATGTTTCTTTGGATCTGGATTACTTTACTTAAGAAAGTTCTTTAAAAGGATACTGGGGTCCTTATGTGAAGGATTTGTATGTGTGCATGCAAGTTCTAGGGCTTGACCTCCGGACCTGGGCTCTGTCCCTGAGCTTTTGTGCTCAAGGCTGGTACTCTACCACTTGAGCCACAACTCCACTTCTGGTTTGGGTTAATTAGAAGAGTCTCATAGGCCTTCTTGCCTGAGCTGCCTTTGAACCTCAGTCTTCAAATCTCAGCCTTCTGAGTAGCTAGGATTACAGATGTGAGCCACCAGTGCCCAGAAAGGATTTTGATTGATTTTTTTCTTAAATTTTGTTTTTGATGCCAGTACTGGGGCTTGAACTCAGGGTCTTGATGCTGTCCCTTAGCTTTTTTATTCAAAGTTAGTGCTCTACCACTTGAACTTAGCTTGCCAGTAGCTAGGATTATAGGCATGAGCCACTGGCACCTGGACCATATATAAAGTTTTTGGTTTTGATTTTGTTTTTTTTGGGGGGGAGGGGTCCAGTTGTGGAGCCTGAACTCTGGGCCTGGGCGCTGTCCCTCAGCTCTTCAGCTCAAGGCTAGTGCTCTACCACTTGAGCCACAGCGCCACTTCCGGCTTTTTTCTTTTTGCTTATGTGGTGCTGAGGAATCGAACCCAGGGCCTCAGGCATGCAAAGCAAGCGCTCTACCACTGAGCCACCTTCCCAGCCCACCATATATAAAGTTTTTAACCATTGTTATATGCAGGAAACTCAAAATTTTCAGATGGTAAGTGGATGTCTTCTAACTTCCCAGACTATATAACCATGTGGCCATCTGACAAAGCAATTTATTCTGATAAGCTAATAGGAAAAAATAAATAAAACTTTCTTCTCCAACTCTCTAATCCTGGCCTAAAGATAATATATTTTAAAGTTCCTCTTCCAGAAAGGACTATGGGTTTTTTTCATTGTTTGCCCTGAGGAGTGACATTAAATGCAAATCATTCTCACAGCATAAGCCAAAGCACCAATCAGTGTTGCTTGAGGAAACTATCTGAGACTTGGAAAATAATTGTCAAAGGTCAGAGAGCACAGTGCTCTGAGATCACCCAAGACTAGGAATAATAACTGCTTCATCAGCTAGTTGAGAAAACCTCCCAGTCCTTTCAGAGTTAGGCAGAATATACAGAAGGGTCTTATCTCAGTAATAGAAAATAAACACAGTCCTGAATGAACAATCCATTTTTAAGTAATTTAATTGCATCCTATTTTTAAATGTTTTTAGTGTAAAAATACTGTACATAAGGGTTACAGTTACATGAGCAAGGTAATGAGTACATTTCCTATCAAGCTGCATCCTAGAACAAACCTCAAAAATTATTATGGCAAAACAAAAATACCCACCACTCATCAAAATAAAATTGGCAATATCTGGTATCTTCAAATATTACAAGATGGGTTGCAGATTAATAGAATGAGGGGGGAAAAGCACTGATACAGTATATTATGTATCCACATTAATTAAGACAATATGGCAAATTGAACATTCATAACAATATACCCTTAACTTGCCCAGTTGATTTTTTACAAAAGCACACAAGCAATCAATGGAGGAAAGATAGCCTTCCAACTGGAACAAGTGGACATCCATATGCAAAATAATGAAACTCAACCTAAACTTTAGGCCTCATACAAATATTAATGTAAAATGGGTCACAGACTTAAAAGTAAAACTATAAAATTTCTAGAAAGAAATATGAGAAAAATTGTGAGATCCTTTTGCAAGGTATAGAATTATTAGTCTAGACACCTAAAGCATAAAATGAAAGATTAATAAAGTAGACTTTATCCAAATGAACTGAGTCTGTTAAAAGAATGTAAAGATATTACTAACTTGTAGAAAGTACATACAAACCAATATAGAATATATAAAGAACTCTTGAAGCTCAACAGTTAAAAATAAACTGTCCAGTGAAAAAAAGAGGTAGAACATATAAGGCCATTTCATCTAAGAAATTCAGCATCTTTAGCCATAGAGGAAAGCAGCTAAATCACCATGATATAATTGTTACACATCTGTCACAATGACCAAATGTAAAAACCATGACAAAACTGAATGCTGGAAATAATAAAGAGAAACCAGACCACAGTGTTGTAAGGAATGTAAAGTGGCAGGTACCATGAAAAACAGTCTGACAATTTCCCTGCAAACCAGACATTTAATTATTAGATGACCTGATACCTGATCCTTTGGACATTTGTCTCAGAGAGTGAAAACTTAAATTCACAAAAAATGAAAGTCACCATACATTTATCAAAGAAATGAATTTTGTAGTTAATGTCTTTTCCACAGAGGAGATTCCAGTCCCAGATGACTTGAAACAAACATTTAAAAAGAACATATAAATTCCAGGGCTGCAAGTATAGCTCAGTGATAAAGTGATTGTGTAGCATGTGCTAGCCCTTGGCTTTAGTTCCCAGAGCCACCTAAAATGTTGATTCCAAACAACATCTTTCAGAAACTTGAGAAGAGGGACTATCTCTCAACTCATTCTATGAATCTAATATTACCAAGACAAAAACCTCACAAAAACATTTTATAGACTAATATACCTCATACATAGAGATGCAAAAAATATCTAAACAAAATTTAACAAATCATTCAGTAATATATAAAAAGTTTGATGGTGGCATACACCTATGATCCCAGCACTTGGGAGGGAGGTAGAGGTAGGTCAAAGCCAGCCTGGGCTAATAAGTAAGATTCTGTCTCAAAAAAATATAAAAAAGCAAAAGAACCACAATGAAAAAAACAAAGCAAAACAATGACAAAAAGGATGTATGGAAAATGATTAAGAACAGGAATGTTAACAAATTAGAGCAATGTACATCAAAAGCATGAATAGATACTATTGTACAATATCAAAATGCTAAATTCGAAATAACTAACTCTATCCAGTATTTTCCAGGATGTGGAGGAACTAAAGCTCTTATTACAGGTGGGAATGTATACAGTTACTACCTGTTAGAAAAGAGTTTCAATTTGCCAAATGTTTGAAATTACCAATTATTCTAATTACTCTAATTATTTCACTCCTAGTTTCCTCATAAGCAATGGAAGCAGATGTTCATACAAAAACTTGAAAACAAATGTTCATAGCTTTATTTATAATAGCCTGGAAAAAGCTCAGCTATCCCATCAATGGTTGAATGAATGAATAAATTTTTATAGGTAATAGAATACTACTCAGCAAAAAAAAAAAATGAACTGTTGATTCACACTGCAACGTGAGAAAATCTCAAAATTATGTGAGTGAAAGAAGCCACACAAGGAAAGGGTATTTGTTGTGTGGTCCCATTTATATAAAATTCTAGAAAATATCAAAGTAATGTGTAGTGACAGAACACTGAGGAGTTCCTTGGGGACTGGGAAGAGAGGTTCCTTGGAAAGTAGGAAGGAGGGCAAGTTTACAAAAGAGAACTTTGGGGGAGTGATGTATATAGTCATTATCTTGTTCATAATGATTTCACAGATGTGAATGTCAAAATTTTTCAAGCAGTACAATTTATGTAAGTTCAGTTTTATTATATGTGAAATGGCATGTCCACATGGAGCTGGTTGAAAAGGAAATGAGTAATATGAGTAATGAAAGAGTAATATGAAATTGGATTCTTTTCCTAGTATAGTTTTTTTGTTGTTGTTTAAAATGTTTGAAATTTGAACTCATACAACCTGGTAACTTATTCACTTCTTATTTCAACAGAGTGAAGATCTGATTCTTTTGGTTCAGGAAATGGAGAAAGGTTACAGTGACCTGCAGAAGGTGCAAAGCCTCTATTCGGAGTCCTTAGTTATGGACTGGTGGTACAATGCAGACAAGGAAGGAGACAGCAAGTAAGCTGGTCTCACTTTCTCATCTCCCCATCATTCAGGATCCTCTCAGGCTCTACCAGCTCTCCTGGATACTTCCCCCTTCTGAAATGCTTTGAGAGATTTATAGTGAAATAATTATGTAGTTTATGAAGTTATAATTTTTCTTTAGGGAAGGAGAGTAATTCATGAACAACAACTGGCTTATGTACTTCATATTCTTTATCACCTAGGGTGGACAACGGCCTCCAGCCCAAGCAGCGATGGGGCAGGTGATGGTTAACAAAATTTTCTAGCTTTCCATAGGCGAGAAAATTCCATATCTTTCTTGAAATATTTTGAGAACGAGCATGGTGCATTTGTACATGCAAGCTCTGTCTTTTCTGCCAAGGGCCACACAGTGTGGGTTCAGGTACAAAGATTTATGGCATATGAAGTCACTAGGAGGAGTGGGTGGGTGGGGAACTGTGAAGGAGGAGAGTACAGTTAACAGTGTTTGAGTTTGTTCCAGAAACTTTCCTTTGTGTTGCTACTGAGTTCAGAGCTTCAAAGAAAGAAATGTCTGAGGAAATACTCTAGCATTTCTGGATTGCTTCTTATCTAGATCTTATCCAGATTGTTTCTGCATGTTCTCTTCTTGGTATGGGAGATCCAAGACAAGGAGTTTACTTTCTCCAGCTTTTAGAAGAACCTGTTGGTTGTTGGTTTGGTTAAGGAAATAAGTTTCTAACCTGGAGCTGGTAGCTCATGCCTGTAATCCTCGCTACTCAGGAGACTAAGATCTGAGGATAGCAGTTCAGAGCCAGCATGGGCAGGGAAGTCTGTGAGACTCTTACCTCCGATAAACTACTCAGAAAATGCCAGAAGTGGTGCTGTGGTTCAAGTGACAGAGCCCTTGTCTTGAGCATAAAGACACTCAGGGACAACACTCAGGTCCTGAGTTCAAGACCCAGGACTGGCAAAAGAAGAAAAGAAAAGAAAAAGAAATTGGTTCCTGTTGGGCCCTGGTGGGTCATACCTATAATCCTAGTTATTCAGGAGGTTGAAATCTGAGTATGGAGGTTTAAAGCCAGTCCAGGCGAAAAGTCTGTAAGAATCTTATATCCAATTATTCAGTAATATGCTAGAAGTAGCCAGGTGCTGGTGACTCATGCTTGTAATCCTAGCTTTTCAAGAGGATGAAGTTCAAAGCCAGACTGGGCAGGAAAATCCATGAGACTATTATATCCAATTAGCCACTAGAAAATCAGAAGTGGCGCTGTGGCTCAAGGGCTAGAGTGCTAGCCTTAAACTGAAGAGCTCAGGGACAACACCCAGCCCCCAGAGTTCAAGCAACAACTGACAACCCCTCCCCAAAAAAACCCTGGAAATAGAGGTGTGGCTCACTTGGTAGAGGTCTGGTCTTGAGCAAAAAACTAAGTGAGAGTGCCCTGGACTGAATTTAAGCCTCAAAGCTAGCATGCACACATAAACAGTTTCTATAATGTTATTATGTACCCTATGAATTGTTATACCAGCCTTCTGCAGTTGATGCCTGTTCCCCCCATGTGTGTGTGTGTGTGTGTGTGTGTGTGTGTGTGTGTGTGTGTGTGTGTGTGTTGGTCCTGGAGCTTGAACTCAGGATTTGGGTGCTGTTCCTGAGCTTCTTTTGCTCAAGGCTAGCACTCTACCACTTAAGCCACAATGCACTTCCAGCATTTTCTGAGTAGTTTATTGAAGATAATAGCCTCACAGACTTTCCTGCCTGGGCTGGCTTTGAACTGTAACCCTCAGATCTCAAATTTCCCAAGTCACTAGGATTACAGGCGTGAACCACTGGCATCTGACTATAACTGTTGGGGTTTTTTATAATTCATTTTTATTGTAAAGGTAATCTACAGAGGGGTTACAATTATGTGATTCAGGTAACACAAACATTTCTTTTCGAGTAGTGTCACCTCTTCCATAACTATTCTTATATTAGCCCAAAGAAGGAGGAGTACTAATTTCTTTAAGTGTGCAATGCTCAATATTAATATATTGACTTCTTTCTTCTTGATGGAAATTCCTTTTTTCTTCTCCTCTTCCTTTTTTTATTTCTTCTCTTCCTTGATCTATTTTTTATCTAAATCAAAACAGGCATCAAAAGGAAATCTCTTTAATGGTTTCAATCCCAGAAGACAGTGCAAAGCCTCAGCTTGATGTTAACTCAGCAGTTGAATTACCCCTAAATATGTTGAAAGTACAATGGGACCTTCCAATTCAAAACATTCCAAAAAAGAAAATCCTCCATGCAGGTATCAGTTGACCCTTTTATTGCTTTTTCTTCTTCTTCAATGAAAGACACTAAATCAAACTCATATAGTATATTTTTAAGCCCCAAACCTCTGTGTGTGTGTGTGTGTGTGTGTGTGTGTGTGTGTCTATGGGGGGGTGGGAGATTTGTTTTGTTTCATTTTGCTTTGTTGTGTGCTAGTACTGGAGCTTGAATTTAGGACCTCATGTTTTCACTTTTCACTCACAGCTGGCACTCTATCCCTGTGCCTCCAGTCTGGATTCTACTTATTAATTGGAGAGAGTCTCGAGGATTTCTCTGCTTCAGCTGGCTTCAAATCCTGTTCCTCACATGTCAGCCTCCTAAGTAGCTAGAGTTACAGGCATGAACACTGGTGCCCTGCTATTGATTTGTGTGTGTATGTGTGTGTGTGTGTGTGTGTGTGTGTGTCTGTGTGTCTGTGTCTGTGTGTCTGTGTTGTTTGCATGTCTATGTTTGTGTGTATGTGTATGTGTGAGTTCTAGGGCTTGAAATCAAAGCTTGGGCACTATTCCTGAGCTTTTTAGTTTTTCAGTGCTCTACCATTTGAACCACAGCTCTACTTCTGTATTTTTGGTGGTTAATTGAAGAGTCTTGTGAACTTTCCTACCCTTGCTGGCTTTGAACCTTAGAGCTCAGCCTCCTGAGTATCTAGGATTGTAGACATGAGCCACTGGCACCTGGCAGTTGTTTTCTCAGGACTCTGGACATTCTACTGTTAAACTACCCTCAGCCTCTCAAAAGATCTTTTCATTGCAGTTTTTATTAAGATAATTGTACATTGACATGATTCCATAAACCTACCCTTTTAGCCTACTGCCCCATGCTCATGTCTTACAAAATAACTATAATACAGAAACTAGTATATGAATATTGATACAATTCATAGATTTTAATTCAGATTGTCCCAGTTTTTCTTACGCTCATTTATATATGTGTGTATGTATGTCCAACTATTTCCATTTGTAATTTTGTCACACATGTAGGTTTGTATCACCATCACATTTAAGGTAGAGTACAATTCCATCACAGGACCTTTCATGAAACCCTCTCAAAACTACACCCATCTCTTTTGCATACTCTTCCCTAACCTTTGGAAATCATTGAGTTCTCAAGTTCCCTAAACTTTGGGAATCGTTGAGTTCTCTAGTTCTAACATGTTACCATTTCCAAAAATATTATATAAATGGAATTATAGTATATAACTTTTGGGGATTGGGTTTTTCTGTTCAGCATAACTTTCTCTATGTTTAACTAAGGAAATTGATAAGTGACTTTTCTTCTTTGGTCTGTTGATGTGGTAGATGATATTATTTGATTTTCAAATGCTGAAGCGGCCTCACACATCTCATATTCCTGTTTATTTCCAATTTATCATTGTTTGAATATATTGTTAGGCTTTATTTGCTTGAAATTTGTTGAGAACTTTCATATGAATGTTTATAAAAGTTAGTGGCTTCCAATTTTCTTTTCTTTCTTTTATAATACTCCTTTTTTACCAGGTTTGGCACCAACCTTGATACTGTCCTCCTTGAATAAGTTGAGAAATGTTCCTTCTTTTTTATTTCTGGAAAAGCTGATGTAATTCTTAGATGTTTGGTAAAGTCAAGGGGCCATTTGGACCTAGAGATTTCAATTTTAAGAAAATTTTCCTTATAAATTCTATTTCTACAAATTTTTGAAACAGGATCTTTATATGCAGCACAGGCTAGCCTTGAACTCATGATCCCTCTACCTTAGTCTTTTGAGTACTGGGATTACATTTACATACAAACTCTCCATAACTTCTTGTTTATTCAGATTCTGAGGGTTGAATTTAGGGTATAATTGGTTCTGTTGGCTTTGCTTGCTTAGCTGGGGCTCTACCACTTGAGCTACACATCCAGCTTGGCTTTTTACTGGCCATATTGGGAATAGAGTTGCATAAACTTTTTGCCTGAGCTAGCTCTGAACAGTGATTATACAGGTCTATAATCCTAGTCTCTTGAGTAATTAAGATTACAGGCATGAACCACTGGTAAATCCAACTGATAGTAGTTTTAAGATAATCCTTATCTACTATTTCATCTTGTCTGAGTTTTGGAAATTTGTGGATTTGGAGAAATTGGCACATTGTTTCTATTTTTTTCAGAATTATGAGGTAACATTCATTATACCTTTTCAGTCACTGTGAGATCTGTATTAATGTCCACTCATTGATATCAACGTTTTGTGTGTATCTCCTCTCTTTTTCAAACTTACCAAAGGTTTTTTAAAGTAAGTTTTATTTTCTATTCATTTGTTTCAAGAGAATTTGCAATTCTCTTAAGCATTTGTAATTCTCTTTAAAGCATTTTTATGGGAAACTTCTTTTAAACCCTTGTCAGATTATTCTAATTTCTGATTCAAATTGATGTTGGCATTATTTGATTGTTTTGTTTTTCCTTATTCAAGGAGTGATTTTCTAGGTTCTTGATGGGATGAATGATTTTTGTATAGGACCCTGGACATTTTGTCTTGTATGTTCAGGATTCTAGATCTTATTTAAATATTTAATTTGGGAAGCAGTCACTTTGTTTAAATTTAGCATATATGAATGATTTTATGGGCTATGGTTCCAATGGCAATTTAACTTTTACAACCTTGTGGTATTATTTTGTTGTTGTTATTCTGGTGCCCTTGGGTCTCCTAGTGTCCTGTATTAGTTCTGCCTATGATAGCAGCAGAGGTCTCTGTAAACCAGAATGCTAGGAGGAATGTGGTGGCTTTTACCACTGTTATCTGTTGAGTGTCCCCATGTTTCTAGAAAGGAGGAAGGAGAATTTTGACCTCATGAAACCTTAAGCTCCTGGAACATGCCACTTGCTGTAACCCAGTCACACTTTTGTAATATGTCTAATTGGTTCTGAGGTCTTTGTACGGGGGAGGAGTGTCTTAGGTCTATAGGGATAATCAGGTTTCCTATACCAAGACACTTGTATGGCTGCATCCCTTTTACCAGTCCTTCTTGCCTATTCCAATCAAGCTGGGTTTTACTAGATCTGCTGTTGTTTGATACTTGTCAGAACATTTTAGAGGCCTTTTGCTATTTTCATCACTTCACTCAAATTTGGGATGCTTGGTGTTAATAGGCATTTCTTCTTATTTCCTGTTTCGTGTAGAACAGTGATAAAATGTGCTGACTAGACAGAGTTTGGGAAATGTTAAATGCTTGAATTCACATACAGATAAATATTTTCATTCAGTATTTACAGAGTTTGAGACTAATAATGTTTTGCATTTTGGGACTTGGAGAGCAACTGTATATCTGGTTGTTTCTGCCTCATAATTTTGGTTAATGTGGCTGTCAGTGCAGCAGAAGTTCATCTGCCTTGTGTGGATCATTGATCACTTTCTTTTATAGACATAAATCCCAAGAAATTTTGCCTTTCTTAACAAAGACAGCCAATCTTATGTAACCTTCTGTTGCCTAGAAAAGTAATGAGGTTGCATAACACACTCCTTTCTCCATGCGTGACAGACACTAGTATTACTAACCTGTGAAAAAGACAGACCATTTGAAGATTAGTAGCTAAACATTACTCCAAATATCTATGATTTCTTGCATGAGAGGGTGAATCCCCTCTTGTGAAAACATGGGTACATTTCATTCACAAATGCTTACATAAGGCCTGGGTCCTTGTGACTCTAAATTATGAAAAACACGTTTATAATATGCTTTTCTGTTATTAAATATGAAAACTTGTCAAGATGTCTTGTCCACAGGCTCTTTACCCTTTAAAGTACACAGTCTGTCAATAATTGATAAATGCCTGCTTGCTAGTTAAAAGGAACAACAGAACATTCAAAAAATGTCAATAGAGGCCTAGCAGCAACTATGGTGGGCAAAATTTTTATAAAGAAAAATAAATATAACAATAATTATAATTATAATGAAAAATGATTTCTAAAGCATCTTAACCAAGGATGTTAACTCTAAATTCTGCAACCTTTAGTGTTGATGAAACATCCTTCTCATAATTATGTTGTATTCACCTAAAGGCAACATTTTCTAGGTGGCTCCAGCGCAATCACATGAAATCCCTTAGAAGGAAAAACTTTCTCTATTCGGTGGCAGAAGAAAAAAACAGAGAGATAATAAACTATGAGAAGAGTTCCATGAAAGATTGCTGTTTTGAAGATAGCTGTGCCACATGGGAAGTGATGTGTGGTGCCCTCAGGAAATGGGAAACTTCTTCCCCTTCTATCCCCAATCACCCAAACTGACCTATAACCAGTAGGAAATGGGGGCTCATTCCCACAACTGCAAGGAACTACTTTAAGCCATCTCAATGACTCTGGGAATGGATTTTTTCCAAAAGAAGCACAACTTCCATTTAGATAAAGGGAGCAAGGCATTACTGAAGCGCTCAATTATGACTAGACCATATCTGACCTCTGAATGTTAGGAAACTAAAGTTGCATTCTTCTTTTAAGGAGTATCTCCTTCCATCTCAAATTCCCTTAACTGAATTCGTTTGGTACCAACAGAATCAACCAAAACTAGCCTGCTTAGAAGCCAGATGTCCACTCCCAAGAGCTCAGCCTACAATGAAATGAAAGACATGAAGGATGGCCTCTCCAAAGGCTGGAGCAGCTGGAACACTGCTCTGAGTAACAAAGGCAAGCCTAAGCTTCCTGGAAAGCTCAGCCACCCTTGTACTCAGTGTCTATTTCTGAAAGAGCTGGATGGAAATAGGCTTTGAAGAGACTATATTTACAGTACTCCTAGATTGCTTCCTATACAATGACTCCTTTGTAAAGCAGGCCTGCCACTTTAGTGCCCTCATTTTTCTTAAGGCTAGACTTGGACTTGGGAGTTTAACAATCATGTGGCCTATATAACTTCAGTGCTAATAGTAATGTTTTGCTGCCAGTCTGGGATTTCAGTTTAGAACACTGCTATTTCATAGTGGGTTTAGTTTCATTCCTTTATTCACAAGTGGAGCCACCTAAGCCCTTTTCAAGTTGTTTACCTTGTGGTGCAGTGAGGAAAATGGGACTTTTCCAACTCAATATTTACTATTGGCCATTTAAAAAAATTAGTATTCTTTTTTAAATTTTGTGCTGGCCCAGAGCTTTAACTTAGGTCCTAGATGCTGCCAATTAGCTTTTGTGCGTAAAGTTGGCACTTGAGCCATAGCTCCACTTCTGGCTTTTTGCTGATATTAGAGATAACAGTCTCTTGGACTTTTCTGTCTAGGCTGGCTTTGAACAAGCCTTTCAGATTTTGAGTAGCTAGGATTACAGGTGTAAACCACAAGCACCTAGCTAAAACTCTTAGTATTTTTTGTGTGTGAGTGTCCAAGGGCCTGGATACTGTCCCTGAGCTGCTTTTACTCAAGGCTAGTGCTCTACCACTTGAATCACAGCTCCACTTTCTACTTTGTTGTTAATTGGAGATAAGAGTCTCATAGAGTTTCCTGGCCAGGCTGGCTTTGAATGAGTCCTCAGATCTCAGCCTCCTGAGTAGTTAGGATTATAAGTGTGAACCACCAGAGTCCGGCTTTAATATTATTCTTAAAAAGATACATTTTTAAAGTTCAAGTCTTGTGGTATATTTGTATGTTTCAAATAGGTGACAAAAAATAGATCCAAACCTCCCTAGGTAGCAGGAAGCACACAAGTTACAAATGTCCACCTGCTGTTTCTCATCATAGCTTATTCCTTCAGGACTCCTCATTTCCTGAGTTTCAGATAGTTTGTATTTCCTCCATCTCAATATTTCTTTGGTTTCATGTAGCTTGTATTTCATACAGTCTTTAAGGGATTTATCACATGATAAAACTACATGATTTCTTAGGCATTTGACCAATTCATACCCAAACACCCCTTCTTCTAGGTGCTGCTCAGTCAATGAGATAACATTCCCTCCCATTTATAAATTCAAATTTGTGTAAGAATATATGTATTAAATCTCCAAAATATTAGCATGAAAATTGGAACTTACAACAGAACCTTAAAGAGTCTTTGTTTTTTCACATAGAGCTGAAGAAACACAGAACAAATTGATCAAACCTAAAATGTTGGTCAAGGCTCTCTACTCAGAAGTTGGTAGGGAGTCAAGTGAGGTCATCAGTGAACAATCATTGATTAATGGTGTTCTTGAAAATTTAGAAAAAAATGTGTTTTCTGGAGAAAAGAGAGTGAGTATGTCTGAGTCTTCCATGAGGAAAAATCTCAGCAACTGAAATGCATGTTCTCTGGTGCCTTGGTCTTCAGTATAAATCACAAATGAATGTTGCCTGAGAACTCATTCTGACAGGTCAAAATATGGTCTCTGAATTGGAGTCCATTTCTTAGCCCTCAGTCATACTGTAACTGATTAAATCTGGTCCTTTTGAATTTTGATATAAACTCCATATATCAGGGAAATGTGTAACTTCCATTTTCCCTTCCACAGGAATGAATTTACTGCCAGTGAATGAGTATATGGATGACAAATTGTTAGGAAAATCAATGGAAGAAGAGAACCAAGTTTACAAGTGAGTGCTTTAATTTCACAAGGTCAAGTTTTGTTAGGTTGCTGCTTGTTGCCCATCATGCTGTAAGTTTTTAAACCCCACAATCTTGACTTTTTAAGCTCCTCACAGATGTCCTCAGCAAAATGGCTACAGACACACAGCCTGGTGGCCAAGAAACTGACCATCATGGATGCTTTGGCTACAACTGCTGTGCCGCACAGCCCCACCTATGTACCTGTTTTGGACAAACATGTTGTTTCCAAGGTCTTTGATGAGGTATGTCTATATGTCCCTGCATGAAGTCATTTTTATTTTCTGTTCAAATAAAAATTAATCTGATTCAGCTTTTTGTGCAGTGGTAATAGGAATGTATTTTGGCTATTAAAAATATTTGAGAAGGGAGTAAAAAGGAAGAGAGAAAAGGGCTCTCAAGAATTCTCTTTTTGATCTTGAGCCACCTAGCTTAGGCCCACCATTTCTCTTAATAATATGCTCTCTCCATATCTCTCTCTCTCTCTCTTTCTTTTCTACTTCTCCCTTTCTATCTGTTTCCATCTCTCTCCTTGCTTTGTTACTTTAGAAATTCAAATTTTAGACAGTGCATCTCTTTAAGTGGAGATGAGATTGGCCTTGTTGGGTTGGCAGTTGGTAGCCCTTGTGGATGAGTAGACACACGGAACTGGAGAATCGGTTGAAAACGCTGTATGTCGGTCATGGGGAGCCTCATCCAGAGCTGAGGCTACTGCATAAAATTGTCCTTTTATTCCTATATTAAATGGCTTCTTCTCCATCGTAAAAACTTCCAAATAAATAACTTGGGGGGTGGGGAGAAAGGGGGGACAGAGAATGATTATCTTGTTTCCAGAGGAGAACAAAGGTTTTAGTAGGAAGCTGTGATCAAGTTAAAAGTGGATGAAGACCAAATAAGCACAGTTGGCCCTTGGTATCTGCAACTTCTGAATTCATGGGCCTTTGCTAAAAAAAAAAAATTGAGGAACTTTTTTCTTGTCACTCCTATCTAAACAATACAGTATTAGCACAGAGTGTACATTGTACAAAGGGTGATTCTAACCATATGAGAGGATGTACCTATAGATTATCTGCCAACACCATACCATTTTATATAAGGATCTTGAGCATCTATGGATTTTAGCACTTGGAGGGGAATCCTAGAACTGATCCAACGCCTGGCCCCATACTGAAGGACAAGTTACTATTGAATTTGGGAATTAGGAAGTGCAGCAAGCACAATCCTAGGGGAGAAGCCAGATTGCAGTAAGATGGCAAACAAAAGAAATGTGAACATAGAAATTGAACTCCATTGCCTCCTGTCAGGATTGATGTAGATAGCAACATATCAGGCTTTCTAGTTGCTAAATGGAATCAGTCTCCTTAAAAGACTTTTCATTATACTGAAGTATTTCCAGAGGAGATGATATGCTGTTTGGGATTTGCTTTAACATAATCTGGATAGTGGGAGTAGTTGGGGGAGGGAGTAGATGACACAGATTTGCTGTGAGTTGATAATTGCTCAAGTTAGATAAGACTTTTGAGGGATATATGGCTTATTGTACTATTTTCTGCTTTATTACAAATTTGAAATTTTCCATAATAAAAAGATTGAAAAAAAAAGCAGTTGGGGAATCCTTTTTGAAAAAAGATAACCGGTCTTTTATAAAATAGTTGAGATTTAACATCATTGAATAAAGTAAATTGTATGGTGTATTTTTTTCTATGAGTGACATTTGTGAAATAGACCCATAGAGGTCCACACACATCCTATAGATATCACCGCTCCTACTCAGGAGACTGTGGGTGGCACCGTTTACCCTAGCTTCTGCACACTTTACCTCAAAGTTCCCAAAACAGCATAGAGAAACTGAGCATGGATTTGTTTCTCCTTGGAAGTTTTGTGACAGTTTCTTCACATGCTGTGAATTTCATGTATTAATATTCTTGAGTTGTATGTAGAACAAATATATTTAGTGAACTCTGCTGGAAATAGAATTATCTTAGGTTTATAATACCTCTTTCTTTGTTTTTGTTTTTTTTTTTGGTCCAGTCGTGGGACCTGAACTCTGGGCCTGGGCGCTGTCTCTCAGCTCTTCAGCTCAAGGCTAGCACTCTACCACTTGAGCCACAGCGCCACTTCCGGCTTTTTCCTTTTTGCTTATGTGGTGCTGAGGAATCGAACTCAGGGCCTCATGCATGCAAGGCAAGCGCTCTACCACTGAGCCACCTTCCCAGCTATAATACCTCTTTCTAACCCATCTAACAACCTGTGATATATTGAAAAGTAAGTTTCTCAAAGACAAATATGTTAGAGTAGGGAACTTTAAGTATAAAATCAAAAGATAATCTGGGCATTTGTAGCTTATGACTTAAATCGTACTTACTCAGGAAGTGTAGAGATTGGGAAGATCAGTTCCAGACCAACTTATACAAAAAAAGTTCTCAAGACCCCATCTCAACAGAAAAGCTGGGCATGATGTATGTACCTGTCATTCAAGCTCCAGCAGAAGCATAAATAGAATCACAGTCCAGGCACATACCAGGGCAGGAAGCAAGACTTTATCTAAAAAATAACCAGAGCAAAAAGAGATGGAAGAATGGCTCAAGTGGTAGAGCTCCAGTCTAAAAAGCACAAAACCCTAATTTCAAACCTCAGTACCACCAGAAAATAAATAAAAAGAAGAAAGTCATGTAGAAAGTATCTATATACTGAATATATAAAAATATTATTTGGCACAAAATGCATAAAGTGAAGGCAGATGTCAGAAAGGTGTCTGCAACATACACAATGAACAAAAGTCCATAAGACTATCTTAAGTACATGTATTCTGGTTCAGGGTAACTTGGTGTTCAGTACACATACACATGTGGAAAAATACCCACTGGAAAGGAGTAAGAGAATGATGAATAACTTAATGGAGAAATCTAGAAAGAAAAGGGGGAAAAGGGAAAACTACATGCAAAAGTATTTAACTTTAGTAGTAACCAAATATGTGACATAGAAACATGCAACTGGAAATTTACTAGATATCCTCACCCCCACAAAATGGCAAGATTAGCAGCACTGAAAAGATGGAATAAAATGAGAAGTTTTATGTGCTGCTGTTGGGAGTTTAAATTTGTGTGATATAAATTGGTGTAATATGTTAAGAGACCTAAGAGCTTGTAACATTTGTCCCCCAAAATCTATATCTCACTAAAAATCTGTGTAAGGAAAAATAAAATAGAATAATTATTGCTACTTTATATATCATAAGGAAAATTTGAAATCAGCCTAAATATCTAGTATGTACATTCTTATAATGGAATGTCATGTATTCATTAAATGAAGAATAAGCAATGAAATGGAGAGACGTCCTCAGTAAACCAAGGAATTAGAATCTAACCCTCCATGTATGATATGTTAGCAATTTTATTATATGTGTGATATAGATAAACATGTAGTGCTTTTGCCCTCTGTGTTTGGTCTTTCTTATTTTGATTTTTTGACAGTCCTAGGGTTTGAACTCAGACCCTTCTACTTGCCTGGCTAGCGTTCTAACACTGGAGCCATGCCTCCAATCCTGCTTTTTTTCTGATTATTTTTGGAGATGGACTCTTGTGAAATTTTCTGGTCTCCTGAGTAGCTAGGATTGCAGATATGAGCCATTGGTGTCTGGATTCTTTTTTCCTGTACTGATATTTAACCCATATAGGACTCTTTTGAGTAAAGTATGGTGCCTCTCACAATCATTCTCATCAATGGAAGAAACACTTGAAATAATTTAGTGACTGTCCTTCCAACCTTTTTTCTTTTCTTTTTCTTTTTTTTGAGTCCGGTTGTGGTCCTAAACTCTGGGCCTGGGCGCTGTCCCTCAGCTCTTCACCTCAAGGCTAGCGTTCTACCACTTGAGCCACAGTGCCACTTCCGGCTTTTTTTCCCCTGCTTATATGGTGCTGAGGAATTGAACCCAGGGCCTTGTGCATACAAGGCAAGTGCTCTACCACTGAGTCACCTTCCCAGCCCCCAACCTTTTTTCTACATGTACATATGTGTATGTGTTTACATAGCTTAGATGTGTGTATAAATGTATATATATATATATATATATATATATATAGAGAGAGAGAGAGAGAGAGAGAGAGAGAATGTAATAACATGGATTTTCCATCCTTTAAAAAGCATATGTTAAAGATCTCCCCACAGGGACAGATGTGGATCTTTCCCATTCTCTTTATCAGCAGGGTTCTTCTATTATTAATAAAGACTTGATAAAGGCCTTCCTTCCCTATTACAAAAAATCCTAGAAACAGTTTCCTCATACAAAGATTTGATGTGGGGGGAACATGCATAAGTCTGTCTTTGGAATGGATTCCTTCAAGTGGAATTACTGGATCCAAAGGGTATATATATTTTTTGTTTGTTTGCCAGTCCTGAGGCATGAATTCAGGGCCTTGGCACTGAGCTTCTTTTTGCTCAACTCTAGCACTCTACCTCTTGAGCTACAGTGCCACTTCTGGCTTTTTCTGTTTGTGTAGTACTGAGGAATCAAACCCAGGGCTTCATACATACTAGACAAGCACTCTACCACTAAGCCACATTCCCAGCCCCAAGGATATGTATATTTAAAATTTCAAAGATAAATCCAAATTGTTCTACAACCCTATTTTATATTTCTACTAGTTCATATCTACACAGTCAGCATATAATAATGATCTCTTCCTAAGTGGGATTGTATATAAAACACCTGCTGATAATTATTAGTTCTGAGTATAGAAACACTTTGAAAGTCCTAAAAGTAGTATGAAGACATAAAAGCCTTATTCAACTTGACCCTTCCTGGCTCATGCTGAAGAAATAAACCTACTAATTCATTCCAACATTTAGAAATCTTTTCTTCACAATGTATGTAATGAGTTACACTCTGGGAATAATATACTTGTTCTCATGTTGTTTTAGGATTAAAATAAATAATGCATGTAATGGATAGAATTTAGCAAGCACTCAATAAATGTTGGCTTTCATTATACAAATAATCAACAATTTGCCTGTAACAATTTGCCAGCTATAAAGCAGATTGAGAAAGGAGGATTGTGTTTGGAGGCCAGCTGACCAAAACTTATCATAAAAATATAGATGTGGAGTTGCACACCTATAATTCTAGCTAGATAGGAGACAGAGGTAGGATCACAGTCCAAGGCCAACCCTGGACTAAACAAATAAGACCCTAGCTGTAAAATATACTAATGAGCAAAACAGCATAGAGCCATACCTCAAGTGGTAA